TTTCTTTATACCTTCTTCCTTATTCTATACCTTATTCTTCAAAGAAGCCAGGCATGGAAGATAGATTTTTTTAATAGATGCCTATCTGCTCTGCAGGCAGATTACCCCTCTAATTTATTTGGGATTCGTGTAAATAAAAAAAATTGTGAAAGCACCTCTCATGCATGTATGCACTGTACGTTTACCAGCAGATGATTTGGACAATTTAGCACGTAACATAATATTAATTAACCATGCAGCAGCCAAGAGACCTGTTATGATTTCAAATAACTATAATTTATTATTGCAGTAAGGGTTGTAATACATGGCACCAGAAGTTCAAAATCCTTGATTATAAGAAAACCAAAGCTTCTCAATCACCAACCAGGCATATATTAGCATAAATGCATGTTTAAGTTATCAGCATTATAAAACGAAAAAGAATAATATTATCATACTATGCTTTTGAGATATATGATAATATTCTTAAATTTTACTACATATATATCTATAATCATAGTAAGACGTTTCTAGTGCTTGTTTGCAGTATGGGTAGGCAACTTAAACAATGTGAATATATAGGTTTATATTTTTTTGTTTGGTGGGATCTGTGGGCCCTATCTTAAATAAACCCATGTGTATTTATTCACTTTTTTATATTTGTTTGATGAGACAGCTAGACAGTATTAATATGTTCGTATTATATGTGCCTATTTTTTGTGTTGGGGTTTTCTAATAATGCAGTGATTTATGATTTACTGCGTTAGATCTTACTTTCCAGACAGCACCTCCTAGTTTTATCTTGGGGGATGGCATTTTTCTTTTTTTTTTAACTTTTTTTTGTTTTGTTAGTACGTTATTTTTTTGTACTGTTTTTCACCAGTTGATGGTTTATTTAGAATCTACCTTATCAAAAAAAAAATCATACAGGTTCATGACAAATACACATCCAAAATGATTACATGAAAAACTGCCTTTAAAAAAGTAATTAACATTACTGCAATGAGCTTTGAAGATAGCACAGTGGCATTATCGTACCACTAATCATAATGAGTATCATTATACTGCGTGATACACTGTTTCCAGTCCTGTAAAACATGACTTCGGTGCTGGATCAAATGTAAGTTTAAGCTTTAAAAAAATTTACCCAAAAACAATGCATTGTTAAAACACTGTTTTTGGTTTTAGAAATCCTTTAAGCAATGTAACGTATTTGTCAGTTGTGGTTGTAGAAATGGCTTATGGTCTCAGTATGGATGTTTCAGAGAAATACTAACATTAAAAACCAATTAGTACAAAGGTGTACCAATATATTAAAGAAAAAGGATGTACATTAAATAAATCAAAGGCTTCCTTATATTTTATATGTATTTATATATATAAGGTGATGCCTGTAAAAAAGGTGATTATATGGACTAAACTAGAAATTTTAAAAGTGTTAACCAAAGATAGCAAGACCAACCCCAAAATGTTTGTAATTACATAAATTCTAAAAATTTAAAAATTAAAGTGAATACAAAACTCAGTGATGGGTGTGTTTGTAAACGAAGATCAGGAAAAGACAAACATGTTAAAGTATTGTTTTACTTCAATATATATCAAAGAGGAACCTATAGCAAGGTAGCTGCAAATGATTGCTTCAAAAAACTTAGAGAAAGATTGTGACTGGACAACTCAAAACAAGGTACTGCAGTAACTAAAGAAAGTTAATGTAAACAAAGCTCCAGGGGCCGATGGTATTCATTCACAAGTACTTAAGGAGCTAAATGTGATAATAAGCAAACCTCTGTTTTTAATCTTTCATGATTTTTTCTCTTTCAGGAATCTTGCCAAAGGATTGGAGAAAGTGAGATGTGGTTCCTAATCTTTGCTTGGAAATTATAGACCTATGAGTATGATTACTGTGACTGTAGAAGTGTTAGAAAGTTTATTAAGAGTTAATATTCAGGAATAATTGGGATCAAAAATACAGTTAGCAGAAATCAGCATGGTTTTATGCCGATGTTAAATTAAGTTAATTGCATTTTAGGGAGAAGTAAAGGTATAGATTAGGGTGTTGCAGTGGATGAGATCTAATTGGATTATGCCAAGGCATTTGATACGGTTCTACACAATAGTGTTCAGATTAAAAGAAATTGGTCTCGATGAAAATTCTTGTTCTTGGGTAGTGCATTGGACTAAAGTTAGAGTACAAAAAGTTGTCATAAATGGTAAATTTTCAAGCTGGACAAAAGTGGTAAGTGGTGTCCCTCAGGGTTCTGTTCTTGGATAGTCCTTGAATGGTAGTGAGTTGGGGAGAAGGATTTGGGATTGGTTATAAAAAGCAAACTAGACAACAATGTCCAATTTGAATCAACAGTTGCTAAGGCCAGTAAGGTATTGCCAATTTACAAATTAATGGTAAAACAACACAATGACATGCAAATATAATCACCTGTTCTATACAAGGACATTATTGAACTAGAAAAAGTGCAGAGGAAGACTACAAAATGAATAATGGGAATTGACAATTTTAATTACGACGAAAGAATTACCAATTTAAATATGTTTAGTTTAGGAAAATGGCACATCAGTGGGGATATAATAACATTATACAAATATATTTGAGGCCAATACAAACCATTGTCTGGATATCTATTCATAAATAAGACTATACATAGGATGCAAGGTCATCCATTTAGGCTGGAAGACAGTAGATTTAGTGTAAGAAGAGATGCGGAAAGCTCTGCCTGCTTCACACTCAATTTGTTGCCTCCTTTTGGATCAATAGCAGAAACAGATGTTGGATATTTGATGGACACAAGTCATTTTTCAGCTTATTGAACGGTGATACCATGTCCTTATTTCAACTCTTCATCTTATAGCAAAATAACTGTAAAATGACTTAAATCCCTTCGCTTGCAGGTGTCATAGAGCATTAATAAACTATACAAGACCACTTTATTCCTCAATCCCTCTTCTCCAAAAGTAACTATTTAATCATGAGGTTGTAAAAACTTTTTTGATACTAGCCATGCTATATTTTGCAAAGTTCAGTTTTTCCAAATGCTAGCCGTTTTATAATAATTTTTATGACTGCGCTTTTAAATAAAGCTGATATTGCTGAAATTTACTGTGATGCACTATATTATTACCTCAACTCTGTCTCCTTTTTGAACATTATTCAATAAATATTATAAATACCCCCAATATAATATGTTTAAAAAGTTCACACTATTTAACAGTGTCTGGATTTTTATACTTTTTAATACAATTTTGCGGAGCTGCAATATTAAAATCAATATCTCCGCTGGTAGATTGTAGAACATAAAAGAGAAGCGCAGTGCAGCACTATAATCCCAATTCCTCAGTAACCGGACGATACACAGTTCTGGGAGTCAACTGATTTTTATTCAACCACAGCTGGCTTTGATGCAACTCTCTATGCAAGGGGTTTCTCAAATTACATTCCAGGGGTGTTCCACTGGTGGACGTTGTTGGGGACAGGGGACAAAGTAACATGTCCCAGACTCCTCCTCTGTACCAGGGAGATAATTGAGTAAGAACAACTCTTTAATTATATTATCTCCCAGGTACAGAAAATATACAATATTTCAAAACCCCATAAAACCTATTAATATAATTCAGAACTCCACGAAAGATACTTCACCGAATGGTAGGGACCTGAGCGCCCACTCTGTTGAAATATCACTCAGATCCGTTTGGTAGATTAGGAACGCAATTCAGGTGAAGTTTAGACCAGTCAACCACGAGGTGAAATCCCAAAATTGTTCCAGAGGGTTTTAGGCTTTGATCGGTTTTCTTTCGGGAGTATAAACCATCAAAATTAACAAATGGAACCATTTGTGTAACAGTTGGTCGTGTGTCCTGTGTTTAATACTTTATTCCATATGAATGCCGATCTTTCTTGGTGAATTGCCACGAACACACGAAGGTATGGTAGTTCAACGGTGTTCGCGCTGTCGAGTGTCCGATTATAGTTCCATGCGCTCGACAACCAAACACCGCTGTCTGTGTTCGTGAGCAAAGATGGCCGCCACCATGTGTTCAGTCATGCGAATGATGGCCACCTAGCTGGCCACCTAGAACCTTGCGGTTTCTAAGTGTGAGTACAGTCAATTGGAGGCACACAACTCCCCTGGGTGATCTAACTGTTCAGTAGATGGTTCGACACACGATCAATATAGCTCTAGTCCGTTCGGGAACTCCAGTTGTCGAACCAGCTAAGTCTTTAATACAAATAGGTGTCTGGTTCTGCTACAGGATATAAGGGAGATGTTTTACTATAAGTAATATGGGATTATATTGCCCCCCCATAGTTCTTTTTGGGAAATTTAAGTGTGACAGTTACTAGTAAAAGCTGGCCAACAGCCATTTTATTAACCCTTGGGCTTTTGAGGTTTTTTTTTACTGTATGCCCATTGGCTGTTAGTGCTAATAGTATATTAATAGTACATAAAATGATTTCCTTTGCAAAAA